AATAATGCTGCGATGACATAGGGTGCACGGACTCTTGAGATTTCTGATTTCAGGTTCTTAGGATAGATACCCAGTAATGGATGGCTGGGTCATAGGGTATTTCTATTTTTAACTTTTTGAGAAATCTCCATACTGTTTTCCATAGTGGCTGTACCAGTTTGCATTCCCACCAACAGTGTATGAGGGGTTCCTTTTTCTCCACATCCTCTCCAACATTTGTCACTCTTGGTTTTGGATGTTTTTGCCAATCTAACAGGTGTAAGGTGATATCTTAGTGTAGTTTTGATTTGCATTTCCCTGATGATTAGCGATGATGAACATCTTTTCATGTGTCTATTGGCCATATTTATATCTTCTTTTGAGAAATGTCTGTTCATGTCCTCTGCCCATGTTTTGATCGGGTTGTTTGTTTTTTTGTGGCTAATCAGTGTGAGTTCTTTTTATATTATGGAGATTAACCCTTTGTCAGATAAGTGGCTTGTAAATATTTTTTCCCAATTAGTGAGCTGTTTTTTTGTGAAACTAGGAAGTTTTAAGTTGTCCAGAAATCGTTGTTCATCTGCTGAGCATGGAAACATCAGTGATTATCAGAGGTTTTTTCAGAGCTGAGGATGATGGATCAACTGTCTGAAAAGCTCTGCCGGAGTGAACTGCTTGCTCATGCTACATCTCTCCTTTTCATGTTTTCCAGGACCTTCCCATCAGTGTTAAATGACCTTTGTTCCTTAAAATGTACACAATATAAAACGGCCTCTGCTGGAGTATCTTTGGTTCATCAGTTACAATTCAGCTCACCCTGCCTAAATTGGGCCGCTTGGTCATGGTGCCCAGGCTCACACCATCACTGTGAGCCCCACACAGTAGCAAATGCTTTTGTTATTTCAGTAGGGTTATATACTATATTTAAGTTTACTTGTATAATAAATATTTTTTTAAGTACAAAGAAAAGTTTGTAAGACTCCATAAGGCATTATTGACATACGCTTAGTCAATGCCCATCATCTGATTATGTGTAAATAATCTTATAAACTACATACCTTCTTTTATAATAATTCTTTCTTTCTTTTTGGTGAGGAAGATTGGCCCTGAGCTAACACCTATCACCAATCTTTCTCTCTTTTTTTTTTTTTTGCTTGAGGAAGATTGTCACTGAGCCAACATCTGTGCCAATCTTTCTCTATTTTGTATGTGGGACACCACCACAGCATGGCTTGATGAGTAGTGTGTAGGTCTGCACCCAGCATCTGAACCTGCAAACCTGGGCTGCTTCAGTGGAGCATGCAAACTTAACTACTATGCCACCGGGCTGGCCCCTAATTCTTTTTTTTTTTTCAAATATGGAATGCTTCATGAATTTACAAGTCATCCTTGTGCAGGGGCCATGCTTATCTTCTCTGGGTCATTCCAGTGTTTGTATTTGTGCTGCCAAAGCGAGCACTTAGAATAATTCTTAACCTTTTTCTTTTTCTGATTATTTCTAGGAAATTACTTCACGAAAGATGCCATCATTTCCCATAAAAGTTGCCCAGGTGATCCCAAAGACATCGTTATGTTTGCAGCCCGCGTTCTGGTTGGAGATTTTATTGAAGGAAACATGAGTTACACGAGCCCTCCTCCACCGTATCATAGCTGTGTGGACACAAGTTGTAATCCTTCTGTTTTTGTTATCTTCCAGAAAGATCAGATTTATCCAGAATATGTGATTGAATATACCGAAACAGACAAACCCTGCGTGATTAGTTAGAAATGATGAAGACAGCATCATAAAGAATGCCATAACCACTCGGTCCACTTATGGAACCAGATTCCCCAGATAGTAGTTGGACTTTACCTTTCCCCACCTAGTTATCCAGTGCCTGGGATCAGTGGTTCCCAAACTTGGCTGCACATCTGACTCATCCGAGAAGCTTTAAAAAATTCCAGGGTCCAGATTGCACCCCCTTCCAGCTAACTCTCTGTGTCTGGGGCTGAGGGCCCCGCAGCAGTATAATCCCCTAAGGGTTCAAATATGTTGTGAAGTTTGGGAACCACTGTCTTAGATGCACCTGGTCAAGACTGATTTCTAAAACTTCTGTAATTGCAGCAACCTTTTTCTCCCAGCTCCTCGTTGAGTTTACTGTACGGCATGGTTTTGCTTTGGTTAAATTGAAAAAAAACTAATTTGGGAAGTTCAAGAGAAATCTAAAAATGCCTGTTGAAATAAGTTCATAAGACAGTAGAGCTGTGGATGGAAGATGAAAAGTTGGGGGACAAATGCTTAAGAACACACTAGGGGAAAAAGTAGAGGTCAGACGTAACTGCTGTGCTGTCCCTTTGTGGTGAAACTGATTCGGGGCACGCAGTTCTTTATCTCTACGTTTATTTAGGGGACTCCATCCAGGTTGACTCTTTCTGGAATGCAATAAAAAGGGCTGCGATGTGTGGCTCAGAGAGAAGCAACCAACTGGAATTAATTGCCCCATTTGGGTTTTTATATAATTATGGCAAAGTAGACGTGTATATTCTAATCAGTAGGATTGCAGAGAAGGCTTTTTTCAGGTCAGACTTTCATGAAATGTCTTTATTTTGGGGGGACTGAGTTGCAGTAGCCTGATTCACACAAGCATGACTGATAAACCCGAGTCCTATTGTAGTCGTTCGCTGTGGCAGATCAGGCTCACCAAGGAATTAGGAGCAGGGCCATCTTACTCAAGGATGGGCCCCCTAGCGAGGTGAGATTTGTTTCCTGGTGAGCACAGAATCAGAACAAAGAATACAGTGCCCCAAATAGGCCTTGCACCTGCAAGGGGCTTCTTTTTCTAAATATAATGTATTGTGCTGAATTGTAGTACAGTCAGCTTTTAGAGCAGTTGAGGTACCCGGACCAAGAGTTCCTTCCTTCTTATGAGGCAGGTTTCTCCTTACAGTTTTCCTTTTTCTTTCTTTCTTTCTTTCTTTTTTTTTTTTGCTGAGGAAGATTCACCCTGAGCTAACATCTGTGCCAATCTTCCTCTACTTTGTATGTGGGTCACCACCACAGCATGGCCTCTGACAAGTGGCAGAGGTCTGTGCCCAGGAACTGAACCCAGGCTGCTGAACTTAACCGCTAGGCCATGGGGCCAGCCTCCAAGTTTTCCTTTTTCGACATTCTGTACCAGTGGCCAAAATTTCCTGTTATAGTTCCTTCCATCAGACACGTTATAAAAATTAGCATTAGAGTTGATTTTCTGTTTGTCAGTTTAGATCAGTGCAAAGATCTCCACAACTCTTTGGCTTAAAGGACTCCAGCAGTAACAAATGTATAGAGATTTTTTAGGGTAGGGTTATTTTCTGGGAGGCTTGCCACAAATAGTTACTCTCATTCACTTATTTTTTTGGTAGTAGCTTCCATTTTGGAGTTTTCATTTCCTGATCTTGACCCTCACATTCCAGAGATGCAGTTTATACAACTCTATCCAACTGCCTACAAGACATCTCTAGCGGGATATTTCACAGGCATCTCTAATTCAGTATATGAACAATGGAACTCTCGATCTGCCTCCCTGAAAGGAATCAGTTCCTCCCCAGCCTTCTGTATATAAGGAAGTGATGTCACCATCCACACATCCGCTCAAGCAGAAATCCAGAGGGGGTCCTTGACTCCTTCCTCTCCCTCCCCCTACGCATCTACGCTGTTCCCAAGTCCAGTTTTCCCTCTTAAATATCTCTTTGTCCTCTTCTAAGTTGTTCTCTACTTAGCAGCAAGGATGGTCATATTTAAAATTTTTTTATTTAATAAATCTTTCAAAACACAAATCTGATCATGCCTTTAGAATAAAGTTCAAAATCATTATCACGGTCCCCCATGATCCCTCCCTTCCCTACCCTCTGTCATTTAGTTTCTTCCACACCAGCCCTTCTGGCTTTCTTTCAGGTCTTTAGTACCCCTTTTCCCCCAGCTCAGTGGTTCTCAGCCAGCACTCCTGCCTTTTTCTTAATGAAAAATACTTTGTAATATCCACTTTATTCAAAGATTCAAAATGCAATTCAGTGGTAATATACTCTGCCTAAACACAATTTTAGAAGTAAATTAAAATTTAAATAAAATTAATATTAACATAAAAGGGAAATAAAAGGTACGTAACTTGGGCACAACTATACCAGAAGACCTAATTAGGTAGTCAGATGTTTATACCTACTTATAATGAATAAATTTGAACTTAAAGAAGGTAGGAGAGCAGAAGCTATTCTGTACAAAGAAGTATGGGAAAAGGAAAAAGCAAGGATACGAGTGGACATTAGAATAGAAACTAGTGATACAATAACTTTTTTGCATATGATAATACTTATTTCTATAAGAGAAAGAACGAAATAGCCTTAACTGAAATAAAGATATTGTGCAAGAAAATCTACAGATTGTCGAAATAGAGAAAATGAGGAAATACTATATTTTTGCAGACGAGCTGTAGGTCATACATGAATGTCTAGTAAGACATTCAAAATTCGTATAGGGTGCAGAATAATTCCTTATTGTGAGGAACTGTCCGACGTATTGCAAGATGTTCAGCATACTTGGCTCTCACATACTCAAGGCCAGTAGCGCCCTCTCCTCCCCCAGACTACGGTGGCACCCACAAACTCTATCAGATCAAGTCACCCTTTTCAGAGAGGTAACATTTTGTAACATCCCCTTTGCTGTCCTGTGACGACTCAGAGATTATATATTCTACTTACACACATGAATTTCTTTAAAAAATCAATTTAATGCCCTAACTCTATTATAATTGAGAAACAGAAGGAAATAAATTTATAATGAAGATGAAATGAATTTCAATATGTAAATGCTCGGGCGTGACTACGCTATACGACATCATGATAGACAGACACTCCTACTTACAATGAATAGGTTTGGATTTAAAAGTCGATCAGAGGCTGCTTCCTGTAAAGTACAGGAAAATGAAAGATTAGAGGTATGGGTGACACTAGGATGAAGACCAGTATTAGGGTAAGTTTTAACAGCCTATAAACCTTATCTGCATATGGTAAGGGAAAGAGCGAAGTTACCTTAATTGAAATAAGGATAATAGGACAAGAAAATTACAGATTGTCTAAGAGGAAAAAAATGACTATTATTCTCTTAAGCGAGCTGTAGTTCCTACATAAATGTCCAGCAGGACGTTAGAAAATCGTATAGGGTGCAGAATAATTCTTCGTTGTGTGGGACTAACCCATACACTGCAGGACATCTGTTATGCCTGGCTGCACCTACGCAATGCCAGTCATAGTCCCAAATATTATGAAACTAACAACCCATCAATTTCCAAAATACCACAGTGAACCACTGACTTAGTTAATATCTAGCATCCTTAGATTAGCTTACTTTTACCCCCATAAGGAGTCCTCCTATAGATTAGATGGAATGCTTGCTTCTCAAACCCGTTTTTAAAATACTTCGTGCCTTGCTTGGTTCATTATAGCATCTATCCAACTTGAAGTTGTCTGCTTTCCACATTAGAATGTAAGCCAGCCTGTCTTGTTCCCTGTGCCACATGTGATGCTTGGTTAAGTGCTTTACTTGTTACATTGGATAAATTTTGTTGATTAAAGTAAGCTCAACTATGTATATTTCAGTAGTTGAGTTGTATTTCTTCTTATTCTTCAAGCTTAATTTGAGATTATCTAATAAAAAGAAACAAATATTAATTTTGCTCTGCTGCCTTTATTTGCTGTATTTCTAAGTATCTCCAAAAAGATAATCAGCTGCAGACACCGGTTTATTCAGTGGGGGATAGAGGATGTGTTTTCCCGTTCCAGCTTTATCATTCCGGGACTCGATGACTGAGGAGCCTTTAGCACACTGCCAGGGAAAGGCAGGGTGGCGGTGACGGAGAAGCCTGCCGTTGTCTGGCACATCTTTTGTCTAGGAGCTTAGAGAAGGACAGGCCAGAAGCTGCTGACACACCTTTCTCCCACTGGTCCTGGAGGTTGGAACAGGGCCAGGCTGAGGCACAAAAGTTAAAAATGTAAATAGTTACCAGCAGAATTGTCCTAGCAGTCACCCCTTCAAAAGCCCTTCTCCCCTCGTTCTTTTTTAATCACAAAGCTTGGGATGGAGAGAGAGAGGAGGAAAATCCCTGTATGGTGGAATAGATTTGATTAAAGTGAAGTAGAACTACCATTTGTTTTGGACCTCAGTATAAAGAAAACAATGTGTAGCCAACCCGTTGCTGTCAAAGCATCCACACTCAAATAAATGAAAATGCTATCAAACCGAGCATGAGCAGATGTTTGAGTTTTTCCAATTAGTTATTTGTTCTATTTGGTTTTTCAGTTTGTCATAGCAGGCTCTCAATTTTTCAGAAATGTTCATTTGAGAAAATGCTATTTAAAGTTTTGATTTTTTGTCCTACAGTTGGGAAAATCTGCCATTATTTCATTTCTGTGGTGGAACCCCTCAGTCCAGCATTTGGGGGAAGCAAAGCTAGATCACAGCCATTTCAGAGTCACACCTTCACTTCTGTAAAGATAACTACTGTCGATGCAAATAATCCACAATCAATCCATAAATCAAAATTGGGGTGAGTTTCTTTGTATGAGCCAGGTCTGAGGACCATAGCCCAGAGCTTCCTTCCCCAGGAGAGGAAGCACTCCAAAGAAGTGCGGTATACAGAGTGGTTATGTACCATCTTGGAACACAGAGCAGACACCACGTACAACAGGAATATCTCTTTTACTACTGTCATGAGATGCTTAGCTAGCACAACAGGTCAGAGGTCAAAAGGTGAGCACAGCAAGTAGTGGTCAGCAGGTTGGTAATCAGTCCTTAGCTTCTGGGAAGAAATGCTTATCCTGAAAGAAATGCTGATATGGGGAGGCAACATGCCTAGAGCATCATTCTTGGCTTTGGGACATTGCAAATATTTAAAGCAGATGTACAATGCACATTCAACAGGCCACGTCAGGCCTTTCTGGAAAAACAAGGTCAGGCTGAATTAGTTTTAAACCAAATGGCTTCCTCACATACTCCAATATATCCTCTTGCTTTTCATTCATTCATCACTACCATAAAAGGCAATGAATGCTGAGTGCTGAATGCGTGGTTAGGGTCCCGGGGCTATGCTGAAGGACATGGCTGGGAAACAGTACAGGGCATAACAGGCAGATTTCGTTTAGAAGGTTATGACAGTGACATTAGTGCACGTCCTTGGAGGGATGTGTTCAAAAGCTTGTGCTAGAGAAGTGTGCCAGGAGCGGTCATCAACATTTGTTTGAGAATGAGCTTCAGAGTCTGAGTTGGAGGGTATATCAGAACTTAGAAGGAACTGCCCAAATCCTAAAAACTCAAATCCTGAAATACTACCCTTAATCTCAACCTCCTGTGTTTCTCGTTTCCATCCCCTTGTGAGTCCGGCATCTTCACCCAGTCTCCGATTTCTCCCTTTTCTCCTCTAACTCCACATTGCCCAATAGTCTGCTCCGGATCTTTTTTTTCTTCCTTTACACACTTTCCCATGAATGATCTCATTTATTCCCATACTCCAATTATCACACACTTCTGACTCCAGAACTATACTCTGCTGAGGCTCAAATAACTTACCCAAGGTTTCATGGCTAAGGAGTAACAGAACCAGGATGATGGACCCCTAGAGTCCAGCTCCAGAACCCACATATTCACGACACTGCTGTGCTAGCTCTCTACAGAACAGTCTCGACTCCTTGCCTCTCACTTCCCACCCTTCCCCAAGAACGCCTGCATCTACTCCTGGTCGTGCCTCCACACTCATTGAAGACTTGTTCTGGCTCACGGTCTTCCTCTCCACTGCAGTCCTCCCACCTTGCTTCAGCATTCGTTGTGGACAACCCCCCCAACACTCCTAGCCTTAGCGCTCCTCAACCTCTTTGTCTTCACCGTCTTCACTCGACTCCGGACATCCACATTCATCACCACACTGTCATTAGTCAGAATTGCTCTAGAACCACTCTTTTCTGGAATTGTAAACTTGTATATTCTACCTTTGACTCACTCTTTTTGCTCTCTCACATTCCCTGCATCTACTTTCCCCACACCCATTCAGCCCCTTCCTGTCTTCACTTCCTTATCTAGCCTCCAGCCCATTCAGCACCTGACTACTCTTTCAATTAATAGTTTCAATCACCCAGAACTTTCGAAAGTATGTCCCATCCATTAGGCAAACCCAACAGTGGATTAATCAAATTCTGTTTCTAAACATGGAGTATTGTTAGAGAGAACTGCAGAGCTGTTTGCATTAATACCACTACACATTCTTGGTTCTCATCCTTGGCAAAGCCTCTGCACTCCATCACCCCTACCTGTCAGCATTCTCCCCATCCCCACAGGACAGGCTTGGTAAATCTTTACCAGCCTCCTCAAGCGACTCTTCCCCACCCATTCTTTGTCTTGTCTTATACTTAATAACACCACCACAACACAAGCAACTATTGGGGCTTTTCTACTTCATCTTGAGCCTACGAACTTTCCTTTTCATGCACTCATCCTTGCCTCTTTTCCTCTTGTCTAAATGGAAGAGGTATTTCTCCTTCTGTCTAAGGTTAATTCTTCCAGTGTCCCATTTTCTCCCAGTGTCATATGAACCTCACCCACTGAATTACCATTATTCTTAGCCATATTTTCAACTTTCTCCTCCTATTGGCTCTTTTCACTTGACATATAACTATGCTTGTCTCTACTATAATAAAATACCTGCCTCCATCTTACGTCTTCCTCTAGTTCTCATTTTATCATTTTACCTTTTCAGATAACTTATTTTAAAAAGTAGTCTATCATTCCTTGACTTCTCCATTCTCTTTTTTTTAACCTACAGAAATCTGCCTTTTCTCATTATACCTCTGAAATAAGCTTGCCTAGTTCATCAATACCCTTGTAGGAAACCTCCCTGCAGTATTTTGTCATGCTGACCATTTCCTCCTTGAAGTTTTCTCCTGTGTGTGTGTATAAATGACTCTCTCTCTCCAATGATTTTTCTCTAACCTCTTTATCAGTTCATATCTTAGGCTGGATTCCCTCAGAAGCAAACAGAACAAGATTGGATGCAAGTGGTTTATTTGGGAGGTGATCCCAAGAAACACTGATAGGGGAGTGAGGAGGTGAAACAGGGAAAGGAAGGGAATATAAGGCATGCTAACAAGCAGATTATAGCTGTGGGCAACAGGGGCTCAGCTCCACTGAGGAAACTCTGGGAGACTATGGAATATATACATGAAGTTGTTCCACCTGAGGAATGATGCCCTGTGATATTTATCTACTATCTGGGAGGGAAAATTATTCCTCTACCCTCTTAGGTTCAGTTCCCGGGGGCCTGCAAATTTAACAGACAGATTAACAGGAGAAGAAACAAGTTCATTCATATGCATATGAAAAAGAAGTGACTCCTCAACAGTTAAAAAGGAGGTTTATATACCTATCTTAACAGGGGAGAGAGAGTGGGCAGAAAGGCTTCTATGGGGAGAACAAATGGGTTTCTAGAGGAATAAACAAGAGATAAGGAAATTTGTGATGTTCATTTATGCAGATGCCAGTGATCTCAGTTTTATTTTTCTTCTTCATGGCCATAAAACATCCCCAGAGAGAGGATCTATTGCAGCCTCATTCCCAGAAGTTTCTGCTTTTTTGAAATAAGAGAAGCTCTAAGAAGGCTTCTTTCTGTATCTGTTTGAATCTCGAATGTCTTCAGTTTAAAATAATCTTCATACCAACTATGGGGGTCCGAGCAGATCCCACACCACCAATGCCCTAACATCACTGGTTGAGGACGCTTCTTGGTAATTTCAGCCTGTCTCTACTGCCAGCAAGCTTGCTCCTTCTGCGGGGGAAAAAGACCTTAGGCAGAGCGTCCAGGTGCAAATGCTGAGCGCCAAAGGCACATAGGCAAGACATTAAAAGCTACTGCCAGTTTCCTTCTGAGTTTTCTCCTCCTCCCTCTGTTTCTTTAATGCAGCTATTCCACAAAGTGCTATCCTCTCACCTCTGCTTTTCACGCTCTTCATTTTTGCTGGGTGATCTTATTAACCCTCACATCTTCAATGACCTAATAATCTGATGTGCCTCAAATCTATGTTCCCCTCTCATCTTTCTTAAGCTCTAGATGTGTGTATACAACTGCCTACTGAGCATCTTATCTTGCTCCACACAAAGTGCACTGCAAACTCCACACAATAAAAACGAAGATTATAGTCCTCAAAGCCTGTTTCTCTTCCATTATTCCTTATCTTGTCTTGCTTTGCTAGAAATCCATTCTTATTGCTGCCAGGCATCTTTCTAAAACACTCATACTACAGTCCGGCCAGGCACTGTTTGAAGTTTGGAAATACAGTAACAAACAAAACAAACGAGATCCTGCTTTCATGGGCTTGACTTCCACAGATATATAAATAAACAAAAAGAAAAATTATCTGTGATATGTTCCATGCAAAGAACGGCGAACTACTTTAGATTTGCACGTCAGGAGAGGCCTTGCTGAAGAGAAGACATTTAAGGTCAGAGCTGAATGACAAAAAGGAAACATCTAGATCAGAGGGAAAGCATTCTGGGCAGAGGGATGACATCACTCCGAAGCTGCAATCTCTTCAGTGGCTTTGCAGTCTTGAGCACGTGTGTAAGTCCACGTTTCTCAGCATGGCAGAGAAGGCCTCCCAGCATCTGAGCAGTTGCCTTCCTCTTGAGCTTCTGACATGACATTAAGCCATTTAACCCTCACAACCACCCCGAACCATAGCAACCAGGCTGCTCGAGTTCCTCGATTATGTCTTATTCATCTTTGTACTCTGTCGCTGCATTAGCAGGTGGCTCAAAAAATGTTCATTGAATGAGCATGGTGTCGGGCAAAGGACAGCTACTCAATAAATGTACAGGTCTAGACCAGTGCCGTCCAAAAGAAACATAAAGTGAGCCACCATACATAACTTAAAATTTCCTCATGGCTACATTGGAAAAGTAAAAGAAACAGATGAACTGGTAATAAAATATTATTTATCAATTTAACGTGATTAATATAAAGTTATTAATGATATTTCACATTCTTTTCATTCTAAATCTTCGAAATCCACTGTGTGTATTTCACGCTCCTACCACATCTCAGTTCGGACGGGTCACATCTCAAGTGCTCAACAGCCACAGCGGCTAGTGGCCTGCCGACTCCCTAAGCCACCCAGCCACGCACCTTCTGCCACATTACCTATTTCATCTTCCTCGCAGCCCTTCCCAGCACTCAAATTCCCTCGTGTGCTTGCACGTCCTGACTGCACCGCACACGTCCCTCAAGGCAACGCCTGGCCCCCGAGCAGGCTCCCGGTAGACGCTGTCCCCGCCTGATGGGCGTCCAGGGGAGGGCCGCGCGCCCAGGGCCCTCCTTCCACCGCCGCGGCCACGGCCGCCGCCCCGCCTCCCCAGGCCCGGCCGGAGGGGGCTCTGAGCCGTGGACGTGACTGGGAGGAGTCTGCCCGCCTCGGCTCGCGCGCTGGCCGCCCAGGCCCGGGCGGCGAGCATGGCGGAGCCCACGGTGTGCTCCTTCCTCACCAAGGTGCTGTGCGCCAACGGCGGCCGCATGTTCCTCCAGGACCTGCGCGGCAACGTGGAGCTGTCGGAGGCGCGGCTGCGGGCGGTGCTGCGCCAGGCCGGGCCCGAGCGCTTCCTGCTGCAGGAGGTGGAGATGCGGGAGGGCCTCTGGGACGCCGAGGCCGAGGCGGCGGCGGGCGCGGCTGGCGCGGGCGGCGGCGGGCCCTCGGCCTGGAGGGTGGTGGCCGTGTCCTCCGTGCGCCTCTGCGCCCGCTACCAGCGCGGCGAGTGCAAGGCCTGCGACCAGCTGCACCTCTGCCGCCGGCACATGCTGGGCAAGTGCCCGAACCGCGACTGCTGGTGAGGCGGCGGCGCGGCGGGCGGGACGCGGCGGCCTCCCGGGGCGGGGGCGCGATCGCCGCGCGGGGCCGCGGGCCTGGCCGGTCCGGCTGCAAGCAGAGCCCCGGGCAATGGGAAGAGGGCCGTGGGGCCGGGCGACCCCCTCCGGCGGGGCGGAAGGGAAGGGCCCTCCGGGTCCTCTGGGGAGGCCTCCTCTGCGCTCCTCGCCCCCGCGCGCCGTGAGGCGGGGGTCGTGTCCATCTGGGTTGCTCACACCTCTCGCCAAAACCTTGCAGCCCCTGCCCCCGGGTCCCGCACAACATGGCCGGGATCAACCAGGACTGGCTTGGGACTTGGGAGTTCATTTACTCCAGTGGGCCTTTCGGGGGCGTTGCAGGTCCTACGAGCCCCGTGGCCTCTTTATTCAGAGATTGCTCCTTCCCACCTAAGACACAATTTTCCAGAAGCGAGGCTGTGCTCTCTCCATGTAGAAAGCCTGATCTAGTTTGACCCCCCGGGAAACTGAGGGCGGGATGGTGTGGGGAGGTCGTCGGGGCTGCCTCCTGCCTGCAGTCTTCTTTGGTTTACTCCAGCCCCCAAAGCGAGCTGGGGGCTCTCGCTCTTCTGAGCGGTGGTGGGCTTGGGGGCGAGCAGCTGTTAGGGGTGGAGAAGGCCCGTGCGGGCACCCACAGAACTGGTCAACACCGTCCGTCCAGGCAGCTGGCTGGGGCAGGGGTTTCCTGGGCTCCGAGGCGGCCTCATTTAAATGAAAATGACCCTGGGAGGGGAGTTGTTTCAACCCAGCTTTCTCCTTGTCAGAACTTATTAGGCTGCGGTATCTGTGGTTCATGGAAATTGTTTAACTTCACATGCAAGTGGCAAGTGGCCCTAGGCCAGGAATCTGACCGACTGGCCCTCCTTCGCCTGAGCCTCTGATCAGAGCTTCGTGTTCCCCCAGGTCTACCTGTACCCTCTCCCATGATATCCACACACCGGTCAACATCCAAGTCCTGAAAAACCACGGCCTTTTCGGCCTCAATGAGGCTCAGCTTCGGATCCTGCTTTTGCAGAATGACCCCTGCCTTTTACCAGAGGTGAGTCACCAAAGAGTCACCCGCATATTGCCTGTACCCTGAGAGATGTTGGGGGGAACATGGAAAGTCTACTTGCAGAGGACAGCCTGAGGTGTATAGGGGTGTTATGGAACAGTGCTGATTTTTCTGGAATGTCTATGGTTTTATTGGGCTTTGATACACAGGGAGTGATGGACTTCTGTGGTATAGAAATAATCATGGCTACTGGTTTTTTGAGTGCTTACTGAATGCTAAGCAATTTGTATACCTTAGCTCATTCATAACCTGTGAGTGAGATGTTCTTGTCCCCATTTTACACGTGAGGAAACTGAGGCTCAGATAGATTAAATGACTTGCCCAAGGTCACGGAGTAAATGGCGAATTTGAATTTAGCTCTGTCTGACTATGAAGTCTGTGTTTTGTGAATTGCCTGTGTATGCTTTTGCCTATTTTTCCGTTGAGGCACTTGTCTTTGCCTGTTAATTTATAAGATGTCTTTCATAATATAAATCTCTTTTTTGGTCACATTTGTTGCAAGTGTTTTCCCCATTTACTTTTTTGGGGCTTTAGATATTAATTTTAATTGCTTTGAAACAACATGATTTAGTTTCAAATGCTTAAAAAAGTACCCATTATAACAGCTATCTTGGTAAAATTAGCATGTTTGTATCTGTTTAGCTGTACACAAGAAATATATATACATATTTTTTTGGTGAGGAAGATTGTCGCTGAGCTAACATCTGTGCCAATCTTCCTCTATTTTGTGTAGGATGCTGCCACAGCGTGGCTTGATGAGCGGTGTGTAGGTTTGCGCCCAAGATTCAAACCTATGAACTCAGGGCTACCAAAGCAGAGTGTGGGAACTTAACCACTATGCCACCTGGCTGGCCCCACACAAGAATTTTTTTAAAACAAAATAGTTGGACCCCTAAAAGAAGGTATTACAAGAGAGCACAAATGAAAAGTAGAGTTTTCTAATCTAGCACAATGATTCTATCATAGTCATTCTCATTACCGCACAAAATTGGGATTCTCTTCCTGATGTGCATTACAAAACGCCAATTATTATGGCATCAGCTTTGGGGAAAAGAAATCAGCTTTATTTTGTGAGATCAATCTGCCAGGAGACAGGGTTATATGCTCTCAGATCTGTCTCCCTGATCCAGGGCTTGGGGCACAATTTATGGGATGAAGGGCAGGGTGGTCTGAAGTGTGGAGATAATGATCAGAGGTAAGGAGAAGTGAGGAAATTGATGTTCTGTGTGAGCATAGTCAAGCTTCATGCCTCTACGTAGGATGCATGTTCACAAAATGGCGGCATTACCATGATCTGAGGGTGGAGTTTTTAGCTCCATGACGTCAAAAAGTCACTTATCGAGCATTTTCGTAGGCCCCAGTGATGGGTTGGTGGTCTCAACTGGCTTGAACTGGACAAGAGGTGTCAGTTCCTAAAAACCCACTCTTTTTTTTTTTAATATTTTTGTTTTTTTGGGATGTACATCATATTTCAAATTCTAGATACATTACATTGTGTTCACCACCCGAACACTAATTATAGTGCATCCCCTCACATGTGACCCTAATCACCCCTTTTGCCCTCCCCCCTCCCTCCTTCCCCAATGATAACCACCAGTCCAATCTCCAGTGCTATGTGTTTTTTTTTTTTGTCGTTTTTATCTTCTACTTATGAGTGAGATCATATGGTATTTGACTTTCTCCCTCTGACTTTTTCACTCAGCATAATACCCTCAAGGTCCATCCATGTTGTCACAAGTGGCTGGATTTCGTCATTTCTTATGGCTGAGTAGTAGTCCATCGTGTATAAATACCACATCTTCTTTATCCATTCGTCCCTTGTTGGGCACCTAGGTTGCTTCCACGTCTTGGCTATTCTGTATAATGCCGCAATGAACATAGGGGTGCAAGTATCTTTATGCCTTTGTGTTTTCAAGTTCTTTGGATAAATACCCAGCAGTGGAATAGCTGGATCATATGTAAAAACCCACTCTTAATTACTCTGTTGATAAGATGAGGTCAGTTAACTGGTCCTGGAGGGCCCGAGGTTATATTCTCAAGTTGCTGGGAGAGGGGTGGAAAAAAGGGAAGGTATTGGGAAAATAGAGGGTAGTTCACGATTGTGGTCTCATTTTAACTCTAAGGAATTTCAGGGTCTAGAAGGGAGGAAAGACAAGGCTGGAGGTATGAGCTGGAGCCTTTGGTTCAGATGGCAGAGGCTGCCGTCAAGGCAGCAGTCTGTACCCAGAAGGCAGCGCTGGAGTCACCCTTAGGAGCCAAGAGCTTTCTTCTTGGCATCCATCTCCTTTCTAATTTCTTCAGGTTTTGAAGCCAGGTGTGGTAGGTCATGGTTATGAGCCAGATACATTCCAGCCATGTTGCCAGAGGTCATCCAAGCAGCAGGTGGAGCAGGTGATGGGCAGGAAGGGAGAGGAGGATGGCAGCGGCTAGGAGGCAGGGTCCATTCCTTCCTCTCTCAGAGGGAAGGGGCAGTGCAACCTCTATTTACCCTTTAGTTTTTATGAATTTTTTTGGCTTATAGAAGTTTCACATTTTTATGTTGTTAATCCTATTGAATCTCTTTCTTTATGCCTTCTCCCCAGTGTTCTACTATACTCCTATACTCCTATACTCCACTTCAGTGTTTTGTGAGCAGCCAATGGGTTGGCTGCACTTAGGACAGGAGCCCACCCCTGGTCCCATCCGCTGGGTCTGGAGGCGTGTGTCATGTGGCACAAAACATGGCCACTTGGACAGCAGGGACCATAGACGAGCACGGTGGATGAGGCACAAATGGTACCTCACATCTCTAGTGTGAAAATGCCTAATGACCCCTTTTTACCACTCTCCTCAAGATACAGTACATAATACAGATGTAGTACACAATAAAAAATCAATAAGGGACGAATATTGTGATTTATAGTAAGAAATCTATATTTGGTCTTCATCCCTTTTCCTGGCACAGAGCCCCTCAAACCCTTGGAATTTCCTAAGTGTTGAGAGTGATGCAGGTTTTTGAAAAGCCCCTCGGTCACTTAAGGATGGGGGCTGGTTGCCAGGAGAACCAGCCATGTGATCAGCGGGTTGGGACTCTCAGTCCCACCCCCACCTCCTAGGAGGGGAGGGAGGAGTTACCAGTGGCCAATGATTTAACCAGTCCTGCCTACGTAATGAAGCCTCTGTAAAAACCCAAAAGGGAGAGTGGAATCTCCGTGCTGCTCTCACTTACCTTCCCCATGCATCTCTTCCATCTGGCTGTTCCTGAGTTATATCCTTTTATAATAAACTGATATTCTGGTAAGTAAAAATGTTCCTCTGAGTTCTGTGACCTTTCTAGCAAATTAATTGAACCCAAAGAGGGGGTCCTAGGAACTTCCGATCTATAGCCAGTAGGTCAGAGGCATAGGTGACAACCTGGACTTGGGATTGACGTTTGAAGTAGGTGCAGTCTTGTGGGACTGAGCCCTTAACCTGTGGGATCTAGTATTTATACTATCCTGGAGATAGACCTGGAGATAGTGTCAGAATTATTAAATTTGTGGGACACCCGGTCAGTATGAGAATTGCTGGGTAGTGTTGGAAAACACACACATTGGAAATATGAAAATGCTGTAGTGATATATTTGAAAACTTACATGAAATGGACAAATTTCTAGAAAAATATAACTCATCAAAATTGATTCGAGAAGAAATAGAAAGCCAGAATAGTTTTTTGAAAATAAAGCACTAAAATAAAACTTTTGAAAACCCAAAAAACCAGAGTATTAGTTAAAAGTCTTCTACAAGAAAATGTTAGGGGGCCGGCCCCGTGGCTGAGTGGTTAAGTTCGCACGCTCTGCTTTGGCGGCCCAGGGTTTTGCTGGTTTGGATCCTGGGCGCGGACATGGCACCACTCATCAAGCCATACTGAGGCGGCGTCCCACATGCCACAACTAGAAGGACTCACAACTAAAAATATACAACTATGAACCGGGGGGCTTTGGGGAGAAAAAGGAAAAATAAAATCTTTAAAAGAAAAAAAAGAAAACATTAGGCTCATAGTTTTACCATTCAGCTCTAACAAATCTTTAAGAATAGATGATTCTGATTTTGGGGTTAGGTCTAGGATCTCTTTTCCTTGATCTCCTGTACATTCTTCACATATTATCACACTGTTGAATTAAAGTGGTGTGCATTTTAATATATGATGGTACAAGTCTATGCCCATTATTCTTCTTTTTCCATTTTTTTCTTTAATCAATTCTCACTTGTTTCCTTTTTCAGATAAGTTTTAGAGTCATTTAAGTTCCTAAAACTGTTTTATAGGAATTCTTTGGGGGAGATAGGAATTGCTCTAATACTATGAGTTCATTTTAGAAAAGTGGCATCACAGTTATAGGTAGGATACCATTTTGTTTTAAACCAGGTCATCTGTTTCCAGTAGAACTTCCCATGCTTTAGGTTTGACTGATTGCATTCCTCTAATATCATTGAACAAGTTCCTCTACCCCCTGAGTTTACTATAAATTGATAGTTAAATCTGGAGGATTGACTGGGTTTAGGTTTGATTTTTGTAGCAAGAATTTTTTGTACGTGTGGTGCATTGTTAGGGCAAGTCCCCGCTTGCCTGGGACTGAGGGGTTTCCAGCGATGTCAGACCTTCCTGCTAAAACCTGGACAGTTGTGTTTCCTAATGTGTCCCATCAGGAGGTACGCAATGTTGGGTTATCTTTTTCTGTGCGAGGTTAAGATTGATTCGTGGTTTTAGGGTTGACAGGCTGATCCATCATTGTGAAGTTCCCCATCCGGAGGCGCTTGGTTTGCCTGGGACAGACCCGGTTTACATTAGTTGTCCCAATGTGTTATTAATACTGCTCCCTGAAAAATGTCCTTGTCTGGATGATAAGTTATCTGCTCGCGCTGCCTGTCTGGATTGGTTTCCCTGGAAGCAGAGCCTGACTTGGGGATTTAGGTGCCTGTGATTTATTGAAGTTGGGCTCCTCGGGAAAATTCTGTGAGGTGTAAAAGACCGAAGCAGGATACAGGGAAGGGAAAGCTACAAGCAGGGTAAAAAGTCTGACCTTGACTTGATTCTTCGCAAGGTTCTGGAGCAGAAATTACACTGAAGAATTGTTCTGGCCTTGAGGCAAGGGGGCCAGCCTTTTGTACCTGCCTAGAATTCACTCACTGGCTACAGGATGTGGGTGAAGAGGCCGGGTCAACTGAGGGTCGAGATCAGAGAGGAGCAGCCTGTGCCTCAGTGGAGCTGGGGGAGGTCCGGATGGGGGTACCATTACAGTACCCATCTGCCTTTCATCCACTGATTTTAACAGCCATTCATGACGAGAAGTTGCCATTTAGAGAATCTATCATTTATTGGCTTAAGAGATACAGTGAAAACGACTGTTTTAAGTGTTGCCTCATTGCTCTACCAGGTCTGTTTACTCTACAACAAAGGTGAAGCGTTGTATGGTTACTGCAACCTCAAGGATAAATGCAACAAGTTCCACGTGTGCAAGTCCTTCGTCAGGGGGGAGTGCAGACTTCAGAAGTGCACACGGTCCCATCAGCTCATTCATGCTGCGGCCCTGAAGCTGCTGCAGGACCAGGGTCTGAATATCCCGAGTGTCGTTAACTTTCAGATAATCTCCACCTACAGGCACATGAAGCTGCACAAGATGCTCGAAAATAAAGGTGAGTGGATCAGAGGGAGATAAAGCATTGTCAACGATGCAGTTTTGACCTGAAAGTGAGTCTGGGGAGAAAGCACTTCATAGGTTAAGTGCTGCTCTGTCTTTGGGGAAGCTTACTTAGGACGTTGAACATTTTGTGGTATGGAACTGTGATTCTAACACAAGGAAGGAAGGGATGGGGTTTATTTTCAGTGCTGCCAGCCACAGGCTTCTGCCCCAGTGTTTGAGCAGTGTAGCTCCTCAGTAAGCACCAGTCAGGGAGGAGGTAGTTTCGTTAGGGAAAAAGAGGAGGGAGGTGGGCCAGTGACTAGGAAAGAAAGGATAATGCAGGGAGGGCTTTCTTGTATTAAATCAAATTAAAGTTTTATCTTTTTTAATTTTTAGGAAATTTTAACCACATTACAGAAATATTTGGAAAATAGAGAGTAGAAATAAAAATTGCACATGACTCCACTCTCTCTAATCCACAGTAATTGTTACCATTTAGTTGCAGGCTCTTCAGTCCTCTTACTATACAAATACTAGTCCAGTTGTGGTCAAAGCATGCATCAGTTTAGCGTCTTAAATTTTCACTTTATCTAACATCGCAAATATCTTCCCATATTGCTGTGTAGTCTGTCATTTCTTAAGGTCTACAAAGTGTGGTTTGGTGTTCCTTTAATTCTAATGCATTCAGGTTACTTGTTAGATTTGCTTTCAGTGGGTTGTGGGCTTAGGAGAATTGCTGATGGGAAAGCCAAATCACCAAAGTCAGGGTCTCTAAGCTTTTAAGATGGATTTTCTCATGTTGGGATGGTAGTGGCTGACTTTATGAGCAGGTGGTTTGAAAAGAGGCAGGGCTCTAGGGAACCCTGTGTGGTGGCAGACACCTTCTACATTGTGCTATGTATGAGGTCTGTCATTATCTTCCTCTGGTCTTATTTAGTGGGTCTCTCCCATGAAATAGTGTCTTTCTGCTTCTGTTGAAATACATAGATAGATACTTTTTTTTTTTAATCCAGAAGACGCAAATGCTTCAAATCAAGAGTGTTGAGAGTTTTGTCTGAGATTTGATTAGCTGGGCTGATGTTCCCCAAATAAAATGAAATTTAGAGTGATAAAAGTGGTGTCTTAGGAAAGCTCGTCTCTTTGCTCATCTTTTTAGATAATTCAACTGCTTCTGCCGAGCATTCACAGGGCGTTGAGAAACAAGGAGTACACGTAGCTGGGGCTGCAGGAGCCAGTCCTCCTGTTTCTGTCCCTGCTCAGTCAGCCAAGAAGTCGTGCGCAGGTAAACCTTAAAGGATGGCAGTGAAATGAGAAGAAGCTTGTCCAGTTGGAAGGTCTGAAAACAAAGCTTCTGTTGAGCTTTAATTTGTAACCATTTATTCATTTAATTGTTTATTAATAGTGGCCTGGATAAAACCTACCTCCCAGGTTGTTGTGAGAATTAAAGAAGATGGAAAAGGAGAAAATGTCAGATTGGGAGGATAAAATTGGGAATGGGAGGTTGGGGATGAGGTTGGACATTGTGCAGGCAAAGAGGGGGTAAAACCTGAGTGTGCGTGGGGTCAGCCCAGGGCTGACCCTGGAGACGGCGTCTCTGCCTGCAGCCCCCAGAGCTTTCCCCAGGTTGCCTGGCCGGAGCTCTGAAGGGGGTAGGTTTCTGCTGCTTGTGTGACCCAGCCAAGTGTTTTTCCACATATACACACATTTTACCTTCACACACACATTTATGCATTTACACAAATGTATTTATAGAGTGCGTACACTTTATACTCTTTATTTTTTTTACTTGTTATTCCATAAGTGTCTTTCTACTTTGTTCACATTGATCATGCATGATCGTTTTTATGCACAGATACACTAATATAGCCTAGTTTACTTAACTGTTTCCCTTATTTGGGGATATTTTGCTTCTTTCTAACGAATTTTGAATATAACTCTTTTCTTAAAATCCACACAATATTGAATTTTTAAAGTTATTCTTTACTTTTGCTTAGCTTTAGTTGCTAAATGATAGCATCTTTTGGTTTGCATTTCTTTACATATATGTACAAGTAAATATTTTTCCGTGTGTCTGCCTTCCGTATGTATTTCGTGCATTTTGTCCATGCCCTTTAATTACTGGAGCCCTCCCCTGCAGATGTGGGATGACTTTTAATTAGGCTCCTTGATTTTCATGAAAGGATGTCATCTGTGCTGTGCTCATGTGATAGCTAACTCTTGTGGATGTGGATCCATCCTCACCCATCACCACAGAGTATATAACTTCCAGGTGCTCACCAGAGATTTCTACCTCATTCTGTTGACACTCTTATCTCTTATTAAGCTTTTACCGAAGCCCAAATTGCTATAGTTTGAAGGATGTGTAGTTTGTCCATTCCTCTGCCTTGTATCTGTTCTTTCTGTGGATCAGGATGGACCATCAGAAATCTATATACCTCACCCATTTCGTGTTGACTCTCTCCTTCCTCCCTTCTGTCTGCCCCGACCCGCCCAGCTGTCTTCATCAGATTGTACTGAGATGTTTGGTTCTTTGTTTTTGTCAAGGGGTACCACAGAGAAGCAGCTTTATGAAGTCCTTTCCTGTGTTTGCTGTAGCAGTATTCCCCAGTGTCATTGTGTAGTGTTTTTAAAAAGATTTTACCTGTTCTGCAGGAACATAACATTTGAGAAATAGGGACAAGGTAGCGAGTTTTTCGTAAAGCTAAATTTATTTAACTTAGAAAATTTTTTTATCAAAAATACTGTCTTGTCTATTGTGCAGAAATGTCCTGTTTAAAGTGAGAAATTGCTATGCTTTCTCCTAATGGACGATAATGGAGTCACGCAACTTATGTTAATCTTTTCACTTTGATTGTCAACAACACTTTCTGAAAGCCCTTGTGTTCTGCACATCTGGTTTCTTTTTTCTTAGTTCTGATTTCTCCTGGTGCTAAGTTTTTTAAGAATTGTTTTTACATTTTATTATTATTTGCATTATATCCTTTTATGATGTATATTTTTGTTGTAAGCCACCTGAAGTCCTTAATGGCAATAGTGTCATGTGTAAATGCATACCTCTCCCATTAAGAGACTTGGTGGAATTTTACCTTATTGTGTACTTTTTATATATTTTATAATTATGATTTTATATATGAAGTTATTGACCCTCTCTAATCTTTGTTGCAACATTTTATTCAGTTCTATAATATTCCATTTTGATCTTAGTTCTGTTGGTATTCATTCTATAAAGGTCTTTTATATAACCATCTCTGTCTCTCGTCTTTTTCCCTGATGATTCAGCTGTTAGGAGTCGTCCCATTAGAGCTGGAGAGAGGTTTTCTTTGGCAGTTTATTGGGGCTTGTGAGATGAAGCTGCACGTCCGTAGGGTCCACAAATCCAACATACCCTCAACTCAGAGATTAACTTTCCTCCAGATTTGTTCCTCCTTTCGTTTCTTTCTTTTGGCATGTTACCACCTATGACTTAAGCCAAAAACCTACAAACTGTCCTATACTCTTCTTTCTTCTTCTTCCCTGTGTCAAACTGGTTACCCAGTGTTGGAGATTTTTTCCCCCTCAAAAATCTCTCGAATTTGTATGCTTTTCTGCCCCTTTCTTTCCGTCTGATACACACAGCCTTGTTTCACACCTCCGCCACCTCTTGCATTTATTTCACAGATGCGTAACTCGGTGATTTTCAAGTCATCTTGCAAGGGTTTTTTGTAGAAGCTGCTAGGGGGCCCCCTGCTCCACTTCAGTGCTGGTAGCCCCCTTTTAATTTGTAACATAGTAGGTAGGCTTTTGTGCATTTCATTGATCTCCTAACCCCCTCCCCCGCCCCCCCTGCTCTCCCTCTGCTTTCCGACCTGCTGCCTGGTTGATCTTTTGAAATGCAAACCTAATCATACTGCTTTTTCGACCATAACCTTCATTGGTCCCCGTCACGTGGAGTAGGAGTCATAAACTCAGATGCCTCCAGCGACCAGAAAGGTGAGTTAAATGGATGAAGTGAGCTGACTGTAAGAGGAATGGGGGAAGAGAGCAAGTGCTTTGGCAAACTGTCCTGTCTAAAAGAGGCAACTACCTCTTGTTTCCATGTGAGAATGTGGGCCCGTATTGTCCGTATCATCCCATTTGTCAAAAGAAGCCAGAAATCCAGATTTTTATGAGAAATTTTCTGACTTTTAAATATTGACTCTTGTTTTTAAAAGATTTTATTTTTCCTTCTTCTCCCCAAAGTCCCCCAGTATATAGTTATATATTTTTAGCTGTGGGTCCTTCTAGTTGTGGCATGTGTACGCTGTCTCAGCGTGGCCCGATGAGCAGTGCGAGGTCTCCTCCCACCATCCAATCCAGCGAAACCCTGGGTCAGTGCAGCAGAGGGCGCGAACTTAACCACTCGGCCACGGGGCCGGCCCTAAATATTGACTCTTAATTGAGTTTTTAAAATGCAGACCAATATTGTGTGTCCGACCTACCTGCAATTTCTGGAATGCGCCATTTTATCTGCGACTCTGTGTTTGTAACGATGCTCCTTCCGAGTGCCCCTCCCTCCTTCCTCCTGCCTCACGCCTCACAGCCTGGCAGAGTGAGATTTGAAATGCCCATGTAGCCTTTCCTGAGCCCAAGAGAGGCGGCTCTCGGCGCTCGCGAAGCTCCAGCATAGCACTTACCGCAGTGCATTTCAGCGCTTTGTGCTTTTATTCCCTAGCTTTGAGCAAAAGCATTGATTAGTCTTCTTGGTAATTCTAACTCTTGGTAGTTAAATATTTTTTGCCATATAATAAATTAAACTCTGCATTCGAATCCATTAAATCAATATATTGGTCTTCATTGTTGTTTTTTTCTCCCCACACGTGTATATTTTTAATAGTCAAAAAAATCTTTTTTCCCCTAAGGAATGTGTTATATAAGGCAAACATATTTTTGGTGCTTCAGTTTGAATTGTCTAGGTCTAAAATTAACTTTTTAAGACTTATGTTCATGATACCAATTCTTTCTATCAAGGAATTGAGTCTCCATTATTGATACTTCTTGATTTCTTTCATTATAATTTGGTCTTGCTTTTGTCTGGGTCTTATATATCCCTTGTATAAATTCTTTCTTGGCTAAATGTGTCTGTATTGATACTCAGTATGGGACTCTCTATCATTAGAATGCTATTCATTTTTTAAGTATTTGTTTTTGGGTGACTTGTCTTTGTTCTAACAGTGTTAGATGGCCTATTTGTTTTTTCTAAATGTAAAATCATAGCTGCAAAAATATTGGTCTTTTCTTATGTATTTCTGTTTTGTTTTTGTGTTAAATAAAATTGTGATAAAAAGATATTTTTTGATATTTCTTCATTAAATATGAAGTTAATTGTTGGCTTGAAACAAATGTTCTCTGTTTAATAAGGAAATAACATCTCCTATTGTTTCTTAGAAGCTTTTAATAGGAATTGGTCTCTTTTCATATAATCACAATTTTATCATTTGTTACCTAAAATTATATTGGTTTTCATGATGTTAAAACATCCTTAAATTCTGAGTTAACTCTACTTGATTATGGCATATGTTCTTTTAATGTATTTTTTCCTATTTGTACCTATTATAACTATATACATCTATATATTCATAAATAAAATTCATTTATATGTTATGTGCGTATGTAGTAGTTTCTTTTTATTTTTGTTGCTATATGCTCAAAATATAAATTTTATTCTAAGTGCCGTTTTGAGTTTTTGTAAATTGATTTGTAATGTCATTATTATTTTTATTTTTTCCAGCTTTATTGAGGTGTAATTGATGTATACTATTGTGTAAGTTTAAAGTGCACAAGGTAATAATTTGACACTTACATTTACTGTGAAATGATTACCACAGTAAGGTTAGTGAACACGTCCATCACCTCACATTCATTATTATTTTAGAAATAGTGTATTACTGTATCTTGAATTACTCTATTGTTATTTTAGAATATTTTTACAAAAGATTTTTTTGGAAAATATAGTAATTAATCATTGTGGAAATTTTGGAGAATACAGAAATGTATTAAGGAGGAAGTAATAATCACCCATAGTACCACTGTGGAGAGACATTTACTGCTACTACTTTAGGATATTTTTTTTTGGTCTTTTCATGCACATATTCTTCTGTATTGAGGATAGACTATAACCACAATTTCATATTATGCCGTTTTGGATTGATATTATTTTGTAAGCATTTTCTGACGTAAGTGAAAGCATTTGCAGGTATATTTGATGGCTGTATTGTATTTTTTATATACCATTTATTTAATCATAGTCCTATTGTTGGTATTCATTGTTTGCTACATTTTAGTACATATATCTTTGCATTCTGATTATTTTCTTAGAAATAGACTTTTAGACATGAATACACTGTGCGAGGAGATATGAATATTTTAAAGACTCAAAAGTATTTCAAAATTGTTTTCTAGACTGGTTATACCAGTTTACATTCCTCAGCAGCATGGGAGTTGCTCATCTCAGTACACCTTCAACAGCGTGTGTTACAAACACATTCTGATGAAAGACAGAATACACTTCGTTTCCTAAGGGGTTCTTCTGGGCAGATAGTTAGAAAAATACATTTGTATCAATTGTACATTGAAGGCTATGTTTTAATCTATTTATTCTGCAATAACAATTAAGCTTTGTGCAATTTCTGATGTTTTGTCTTTACTGAGATTTTCTTTTTGCTTTACATTTGCATGGTCAGTTTTTTTGTGAACTGATCAGGCATTCATCTTATACAGGTCCTATTTTATTCTCGTGGTGCCTCATAGGCACTGACTCTCAGATAGTTTCTCCCAGATGAATTTTTGTTTCATTCAAACAGGGACTGCCTCCCTCTACTATATGTAGCAAGCTCTCAGTTCAGGGAAGACGTGTCCACTAACCTGCGTTGACTGTAACAGCTTCCAAAGTCTGGAGAGGCCACTCTGACCAAGGAAAACTTGGAAATGCCTCAGATGAACCTTCCTTTGGCTCATACCCTTCTATATGTCCATAAAACCAAGCCAGAAAACACAGGCAGATGCTCTCATGAGGCATTTTCCTTATCTCTTGGCTTCACATGTTCACATTTCCCCCCTGGCCTCTCTAGGAGTTGGGGTTCCTAACTTCTCAATCTTGCTTTCTGGGACAGTGTCCAGCTTGGCTTCTTTTAGTCCCTACATCTCCAGCCTTAAGCCCCTGCACCCACTCCAGTCCTGTTTCTCACACCTAGCCTACCAGGTGAGATGGCAGGGGATTAGACATTTTGCCAGGTGACTGCATTCCTGGGCTCCCCATCACTGACCTAGCTGGCTGAGAGAGCTCCTGCACTTGAGAACAAGGCACAGTGACAGGGGATTGCTGGGCTCCATGGCAGATTGCTCTGTGAGTTATCTGGGTGATGGGGACTACAGCAGAGTTCCCATCTCAGCTCCTCTGGCACCATAGCCCATCATCCTCTCCCCTCTGGTTGAGACTCTGAAGACAGGTCAGGGAATGTCCTGGACTTCCCAAGTGAAAGATACAGGAACAATCAGGACTCATGAATAGTGTAGAGATGTATCATCAGATAGTTTAGCTCATGCTGCAACAATAAATGACCCCCAAATCTCATGACTTACAAGAGTAAACGTTTGTTTTTCACTTGTGTTCATCATAGTTTCAGTTCTATTCCATGTCCTTTTTGCTTTTGGATCCAGGGTGACAGAGCAGCCCTCATCTTGGTGTCGTGTCCTGGCAGGAGGAAACCACAAGCTGGCTCTTAAAGCTTCTACTTGCCTTGCACTGGTCAAAGAAAACCATGTGGCCACCCTGTGCACAACAGGGGGAGGGTGTATAAGCCTACATGGAGGGCCTCTGCAGATCACATGGCCAAGCCTAATACCAATGGGCAGGAACAACAATGTGCCCTCAGGGAAGGGCAATAAGTGTTATTAACTATAATACAGTCAACCAAAGGAGGAAGCTCAGACAGCCAGCAGTGTATGAGGGTTCCCTTTTCTCCACATCCTCTCCAACATGTCATTTTTTGTCTTGGTGATTATAGCCATTCAAAGGGGTGTATGATGAAATCTCAGTATAGTTTTGATTTGCATTTCCCTGATGATTGGTGATGTTGAACATCTTTCCACGTGCCTGCTGGCCATCTGTATATCTTCTTTGGAAAAATGTTCATATCATCTGCCCATTTTTTGATTGGGTTGTTTGTTTTTTTGTTGTTGAGTTGTGTGAGTTCTTTATATATTTTGGAGATGAACCCCTTGTTGGAAATACGATTTGTAAATATTTTCTCCCAGTTGGTGGGTTGTCTTTTCCTTTTGTTCTGATTTCCTTTGCCTTGGAGAAGCTCTTTCATCTGATGAAGTCCCATTTGTTTATTTTTTATTTTGTTTCCCTTGCCCAAGTAGACATGGTTTTCGAAAAGTTGCTGCTAAGACCGATGTCAAAGAGTGTACTGCCTATGTTTTCTTCTAGGATTTTTATGGTTTCATGTCTTACTGTCAAGCCTTTAATCCATTTTGAGTTAATTTTTGTGCATGGTGTAAGATAATGGTCTACTTTCATTCTTTTGCATGTGGCTGTCCAGTTTTCCCAGCACCATTTGTTGAAGAGGTTTTTCTTTCTCCATTCTTGGCTCCTTTGTTGAAGATTTAGCTGTCCATCTACTTGTGGTTTTATTTCTGGGCTTTCAGTTCTGTTTCATTGATCCATGTGTCTGTTTTTGTACCTGTACCATGCTGTTTTGATTACTATAGATTTGTAGTATATTGTGAAGTCAGATATTGTGATGCCTCCAGCTTTGTTCTTTTTTTCAGGATTACTCTAGCTATTTGGATTCTTTTGGTGCCTCATGTAAATTTTAGGATTCTTTGTTCTATTTCCGTGAAGAATGTCATTGGGATTCTGATTGGGATTGCATTGAATCTGTAGATTGCTTTAGGTAGTATGGACGTTTTAACTATGTTTATTCTTCCAATCCCTGTGCATGGAATATCTTTTCATTTCTTTATGTCATCATCAATTTCTTTCAATAATGTCTTATAGTTTTCATTGTATAGGTTTTTCACCTCTTGGGTTAAATTTATTCCTAGATATTTTATTCTTTTTGTTGCAGTTGTAAATGAGATTATGTTCTTGAGTTCTCTTTCTCTTAGTTCATTATTGGAGTTTAAAAATGCAACTGATTTTTGAAAGTTAATTTTTTACCCTGCAACTTTGCTGTAGTTGTTGATTATTTCTAATAGTTTTCTGATGGATTCTTTAGAGGTTTCTTATATAAAATCATGTCATCTGCAAACAGTGAGAGTTTCACTTCCTCCTTGCCAATTTGGATTCCTTTTATTTCTTTTTCTCGCCTAATTATTCTGGCCCAGACCTCCAGTACTATGTTGAATAAGAGTGGTGAGAGTGGGCACCCTTGTATTTTTTCTGTTCTCAGAGGGATGGCTTTCAGTTTTTCCCCTTTGAGTGTGATGTTGGCTGTGGATCAGTCATATATGGCCTTTATTATGTTGAGGCACTTTCCTTCTGTACCCATTTTACTGAAAGTTTTTATCATAAATGGATGTTGAATCTTGTCAAATGCTTTTGCTGCACCTATTGAGATGATCGTGTGGTTTCTATTTCTCATTTTGTTAATATGGTGTATCACATTGATTGATTTGCAGTTGCTGAACCATCTCTGCCTCTCTGGTACAAATCCCACTTGATCATGGTGTGTGAACCTTTTACTGTATTGCTGTATTTGGTTTGCCAATATTTTGTTAAGGATTTTTGCATCTATATTCATCAGCAATATTGGCCTGTAATTTTCCTTCTCTGTGTTGTCTTTGGCTGGCTCTGGGATCAGGGTAATGTTGGCCTCATAAAATGTGTTGGGAAGTATTCCATCTTCTTCAATTGTTTGGAACAATTTGAGAAGGATAGGTATTAAATCTTCCTTGAATGTTTGGTAGAATTCTCTAGAGAAGCTGTCTGGTCCTGGACTTTTACTTTTTGGGAGGTTTTTTATTACTGTTTCTATCTCTTTATTTGTGATTGGTCTATTCAGATTCTCTATTTCTTCTTGATTCAGTTTTGGAGGTTCTTTGATTCAGTTTTGGGAGGTTGTGTGAGTCCTAAGAATTTATCTATTTCTTCTAGATTGTCCAATTTGTTGGTATATAGTTTTTCATAGTATTCTCTTATAATCCTTTGTATTTCTGTGGCATACCATTGTAATTTCTCCTCTTTCATTTCTAATTTTATTTGTTTGAGACTTCTCTCTTCTTTTCTTAGTGAGTCTAGCTAAGAGTTTGTCAATTTTATCTTCTCAAAGAACCAGTGCTTAGT